ATACTGACACAGCCTCACTTCCAGGTATAGATCACATGCACACACATGTACAACAGTGAAAAATATAGTCCAATGTTAAAATTACCAAATCTTAATTGTTGAATCTGACAATACAATGTTTTTTGTAAACATTTACACACAGGAAAGACCTGAGTCTTTTCTCTTCACACAGTTAAAATAACAAATATTGTGGTGTACGTATGTCTAACTTTGAACATCTTCCTCAGTCTCTACTGGAGACTCACGATTCAGTGGCGTCCCAGGCATGTGACAGCCCTCCACCCAGCCCATGTGATTTTGCGGATCATGAGCAGGAAGACGGCCACACGCACAACCTGCCCCCGCCGCCTGACGCAATCCGCATGGTGGGCATACGCAAAGTGGCGGGGGAGCACCTGGTAGGTAACATTAAAACCTAAACACAATGGACACTGCTGAGTTCATTCTATGTTGCTTTGCACTTTTCTGCTCCAAGCCCTCTTAGTGTTTGTTGTAAAGCATTTTATTATTGTTGATGATAGAAACAACAGCCTACATTGTTGTGTTTCAGGGTGTAACGTTCAAGGTGGAGGGTGGTGAGCTGATTATAGCACGCATCCTACATGGAGGGATGATAGACCAGCAAGGACTGCTGCATGTGGGAGACATCATCAAAGAGGTGAGGTAGACCATTATATAGATATGACCTCTACTGACCCCTTACATTCTTTTGATTTATGGTGGGAGTGCCTTGAACTTCCAGCTGCTGTTTTGATTTCTTCAGAAACACTAACTGCCCCCAAACTATAGTGTCTCTTAAAGAAAGAGGTCCATTTTTGGGGGGGGAAATAAAAGGCTGATTCTCTTTCTTCATTTTTAAATGAGATCGATACAAATATTAAGCTACTGTCAGCAGCCAGTTTAGCACAAAAGCACTGAAACATGGAAAAATTTACTCGGAAACAGCCTGGCTCTGTCAAAAGGTAAAAAACAATATGTAAATTTTTATCTGATCTTACCAGTGGAGTACCTCAAGGTTGGGTCCTTTATTTTATCGTTTGTAGCTCACCAAGCTCTTGTGATATTTGTAACCTGTCATCTTCCATTACAGATCCCACAAATGTGATTATTAATGTGTCAGTTCAGAAACGTTCTGTTATCCAATGTGTTGGCAGGTGAATGGACGAGAGGTGGGCCAGGATGCCAGGGTGCTGCAGGAGGAGCTGCAAGCAGCCAGCGGAAGTGTAGTTCTGAAAATCCTGCCCAGCTATCATGAAGCCATACAGCCAGGACAGGTGACAGATTACTACACACAGAGTGGACACACATGGTCATAGTAACAGACATAAGGTTTCTGGTGACTGGATTCTGAAATGGCCAGATATAATATTAGTTAAATAGCATACATTTACAAATGCACCATTGAAGACATATAGGTCTGTATCTACAGATGTCACAAGAACAGATGCTTCGGTACCAAGTTGAAGCCAAAATACTCAAAACGCATGGCTTAAGACTAACAACAACGCACCCTATTTTTTCCCTGACAATGCTACAATGTGGACAACAAATCTGTGTTGAAATTAGCAGGAGAGCAGTTAACGTTAGCTGTTAGCAGCTGGTGGACAGCACAGTCCTGCTTGGCTAAATAACAGAGCTGACAGCTAATGTTAACAGAGGTTACGTTGAGTTACATTATGACACATTCAAGCTCTATTCAGTAAAAATTTGTATTCGGTGAAAGTTAATTATAATATTATCGTGATTTGTTCAATGTAATCGTGTAAAATTTAGTTTTTGGTGAGAAACTAAAATAAATCTAGTTGATTGAAGGAGATGTTTTCACACCTATAACATAGATTTAGAAAGGGAAATATGACCTGTTGAACTTCCTAACACCAGTTCTAAGCAATATTTGCTTTGATAAATATTACTTAGAATTATGTAATTAAAACTACAGTAGTTCTAATTACGTAATTAGAATGTAATTAGAACTACTAATGCCAATAATCAAAGCAAATATTTTGATTAAAATACGATCAATAACAAAACATTTGCAGAATGCAAATAGAATCATGGAATTACACTGGTATTGTATGGACTACTACATCTCTGGTATCTGTTTTTCCAGCTGTTCTTTAAGTGTCACTATGACTACGACCCGGCCAATGACAACCTGATTCCTTGTAAGGAGGCGGGCTTAAGGTTTGAGACAGGAGACATCCTGCAGATAGTCAACCAGGATGATGTCAACTGGTGGCAGGTGGAGTACAAAAACACTTTTATGTGTTCTGTTGATTCTACAGTAGACAGAGAGCTGTTCATATTCATACTTTCTTTAGATTAAGATGTAATAAAACCCCAGGAACTTTAGGGTTATGTGTGTGTGTGTGTGTGTGTGTGTGTGTGTGTGTGTGTGTTATACAGGCCCGTCATGTGGAGGGTGGCAGCGCGGGGCTGATCCCCAGTCAGATGCTGGAGGAGAAGAGGAAAGCGTTTGTCAAGAGAGATGTGGAACTGGCACCAGCAGGTAACTGGAAGGAAAGAATAATGAGAACAAAGAAACAATACTGATGGTAGTGCTGGGCGGTATGACCAAAAATTTGTATCGCAGTATTTTTTAAGATTCTGGCGGTTTCACGGTATATCACGGTATTTTTTTTTTTCCTTGACTGTTTTTATATAGGTTTATAGTGGCTTACGCTACTGTCAGGAGTACATAGAATATAAAAACATTTTAATGTCATCATGTATAAAGGCTTTGCTTACTATAGGGTTTGTTCGTATAATGTTGGGATAGCAGTTTGGCTGAAGTATTGTCGCCCTGGTAAGACATACCTTGAATCCAGTGTTTAAATCATTGCTCTGAGCCCGTCTTTATCGACTGTCTGTAGCGGGACCATGTCCTTGCATAGCTGGATCGTTATTGCGTTCGTAATGTCGCTCCACCGCTTGCTTTTCTTGTCATATGCTGCTCGAGCAAATGCCTCTTCAAGCGATGTCTGACCCTTTAGCTTCACTGTTTCACTCGCGCTAACGTTACTGTTTGACGGCCTTGAATCCGACAACCGTCATCACACTCTTGGTATTCCAACACATGTTTTCTGCTGAGGTGATGGAGTAAGATGCTCGTGTTACCACCAGCGGCAACAGTGGCTCGACAAACTTATATAGTCTTTTGGTCTACATCGGATTTTTTTTTTAACCAAAACACTTCCAAACAGCAGACCCAGCTCCTGTCTTTGTCTGTCTTTGTTCATCCTGCATCGCTCTGTTCTGTTCTTTAATGTAACGTTACTGTAGCGACGGAGCCTCTCCCAGCTGTAAACAGACTGTTGTGCTAGCGAGCTGTACCCAGCATGCCGTTCGGAGGTGTAATTTTATAAATGTACAATTATTAGTGTTACAAATTGTTTGTGTCACACACTGTTGTGTCGTGGTGTTTTGCCCTGTTAAAGAGCGTTAGTTGTGGGTTATTAATTGTTGTGCTATAAAGTTATAACCATGATTAGGGGTCAGTCTCAATACACTCCAGACAACTAGCTCCGACCGCAGCGCCCTCAGCGGCGAACAATATATTTTGCTGCCTGTTGAAGAGTGACAGCAGTTGTTTCGGCTGTGTATGGCGGTGTGTTAAAAATGTATATCATACAATCAAAACCAGTATACCGCCCAGCACTAACTGATGCTCAATAAAATAATAATTATTTACGAAGAAAGTGATACATGAAACTCCCTTAACAGCTTTAAGTGTGATTAAGGCAAATGTGGTCTAAATTCACCGTTTTGAATCAAAAATATGTCATCCACGTGAATCGTGTAGATCCGTAGAGTTTTTTTTGGGGGGGGGGGGGGGGGGAGTCAACCGGCCAGCCAGCGTTTCTCAGATTGGAGTCATACGAGGAGAAAAGGTGATGTCGTGATCTTCACAATAAAACATCTTTGATGTGACAAGTCTTGGCCAATCAGCGTTCAGATGTCTACAGCGTCTTCATTTCCCTCCGTTAAAGTTAAGTTATGTTCCGTTACCGTTCAGACTTGCTGGGTTGTTAACGTCCACTGCATGCAAAACTTTATCGACTGTTAACGTTCATCATTATCGCGATTTAGGAGGAAAAAAACATAATGTTATGAAACATGCAGCCCCCCCCCCCCCCCCGTGTTCCAGTTCAGTTCACGCGGTCAATCATTAACTTTAAACCCGAACACCGGCGGATCTGCTGGCAGGTTGTTTTTTTAACTCAAAGTAGAATGAGGCGATTTCGTGGTCATAATAACGTTTAAGATAACGAAAAGTGAGGCTCAGATACTGATGAGATGATGAGGTCAAAGAGCTTCAGGGAGAGGAGGCTGTCTGTAGCGCAGCTTGACGCAGGGCTGAGCTGTGAGTGGAGCTGGGCCTGGATAAAGGTCGACAGATGTGAAGGGAGAGCAGTACAGCTTCCTGCTGTCAGTGTTTTAAATACATTGATAAAGCAGGGTATGCTAAATGCAACCTCTGCTCCAAGGAGATAAACTACAGCAAAAAGGGCTCACATGCCGTCTCATCACACTGTTCACACCGTTCACTGTAATGACCACAGCCTGTGTACTTCCAGTCCCACGTTGCTCTCAAGAACCCTGAAGTAATGAGAGGGTTAAGGTTGCCTGTACCGGGTTATGACGTGCAACTGAGCAGACGTGTGGAGCAAGGCTCCGGCGAAATTAATATATTTTACTAACTAAATCGAGCTACCTGTGACCTAAAATACTTTTTTTAAGGTACATTTCACGCGATGTCGAAAAACCGAGGGAAAGGCCGACCTTCTAAAGTCGACAAAAAGACAGACTTTGAGACTCTACCTGAGGAAGACACGGAAGAGGTAACTGGCGATATGCTAACTCATGAGGAGACCAGCAGCAATGAGAGCCAGATTCTATCGGCCATACAGTCCATGAGGAACGATTTTCCCGCTAAACTACATGAAGTCATTTCCTCCAACTGAGAGATAAAAGAAGCTGTAGGGGCATTTTCTGAAAGACTCACAGAAGCAGAAACTCGCATTTGCACTGCGGAAGACCAGATAACTTCGCTAACAAAGCAAGCCGAGTCCACAAGCTCACCTCATAGATGGAAGAGATGGAAAACCTACAACGTCGCTCCATTCTAAGACTGGTTGGATTACCAGAGGGAGTGGAGAGCGGAGATGCACGTACATTCTTAACGGCATGGCTGCACAAGGCTCTTAACATAGATGCAGAAGAACAACCGGTAATCGTCGAGCAAGCCTACAGGCTAGGGAGAATACCACTGCAGACCCAGGATCAGCAGGGTCCAGACAGAATACGACCACGGATTCTCCTGGTGAAATTCCTGACCTACTGAGACAGAGACCGAGTTATGAAAGCAGCACGTCTGAAAGATGAAATCAAAGTTGACGGTGGCCGTGTCACGTTCTTCCCTGACTTTTCATCTGAGGTCCAAAGACAGAGGAAACTTTTTGACGGAGCGAAACAGAGCCTGCGCCAAATGCATATGGTGTATGGATTTTTGTTCCCAGCAAAACTGCGAATTCTACACGATAAAACCTGGCACCACTTCACCTCACCAGCCCAAGCTGAAGAATTCATCCGGATGATTAAGAAGGGGAACAACCTCGATCGTGATACATAGCAGGGACCATCACCTGAAGAGTAACGAATATCAGAACTTTGGCTGAATGGTGAGGTGGTCTATTCACCGTTGAAAAGAGTCTGTTGTGGTAAGCTTGAACTGATGGCGAGTTAAGATTATTATTATTGGCATAGGCCAGGTACAGACTTGGACTAGGCTGTCCATTCAGATAGGCTGTCCATTCAGATAGGCTAACTACTAAGATACTTTATCATATTAAGGTCACAAACGAATATTGCTCCATCCGTATTGACATGCATTTCGTCGGAGCACGCCCGACTTGTATATATTTTTTATTTATTTTGTATTAACTTCTCAAGATCTGGTTGCTATACTGCTCCTCTAAAGGATCAGGGCTCAGTCTAACCGGGATCCGGTCGACGGGAGGGAGGGAGGGGAGATGTGTGTGTTTATCTGCACAGGGTGTAGGCTAGGCCTACTGTTGTTGCCTCAGTTGGGAGAGGCCCTTGTTATTATTTGTTCCGTATGTTTGTTTATTTTGAAGGCACACTATTCACTTTATCACATGGCATGGTTAAAAAGTTAGGTGCAGGTGAGCTTACTTTGCTGACTTCATCATGAGCGGTGACACTAAAATAAATATTATTTCATGGAATGTTAGGGGTCTTAGGAAGATAGTTAAATTAAAACAAGTAATGTCGAGACTGAAACAGCTAAAAACACATGGCTTTTATTCAAGAAACCCATTTGCTTTCCAGTGAGTACATCCCCTTGAAAAGGAGGTGGCCAGGTCGGGTCATATCTGCCTCATTCTCCTCCCATGCAAGAGGGGTAGCAATACTTATTCACTCATCTGTTCCATTAAGAGTTTACAATACCATACAAGACACAGTAGGCAGAATTGTTATCGTCCAGGGCTCTTTACTAAATCAAGATATTAATTTAGTATGTCTATATGGTCCTAACAACGATGATACACAGTTTTATAATAACCTGTTCCTAACTTTATCAACATTGCATGGCCACATTTGTATGGCAGGGGACTTTAATTGTACTCTTAATCCAACACTGGATAAATGATCAGGTGTGGACACCTCACATATGCAAAGTAGGAAAGTAATACAAAACTTTATGTGCAAGTTAAATCTTTGTGATATCTGGAGACATAAGAACCCTTCCAGACGGGAATATTCATGCCACTCTGTTACACATAATTCTTACTCCCGCATAGACTACTTCCTCATTTCTAAGTCTATGATATCTAATGTGACTGACTCATTGTATAAAAGTATTGTCATTTCAGATCATGCTTTACTTCTACTCAATTACACTGTCAAAGCAGCTAATAAGGGTCCCACTATATAGCGATTGAGCCCACGATGGTTGCATGATAACGAGTTTTTCAAATTTGTTGGAACCAATATTGATGTCTATTTCGAAGTCAATACTACTCAAACATCAGCGTCTACAAGATGGGAGGCATTCAAGGCCTACATACGAGGCCAAATGATCAGCTATACAAGCAGCATATCAAATAAACAGCACCTAAAATTAATGGAGTTAGAAAAAGATATTAAAGAACTTGAGACAGAAATTAACCTTAATGATACAAATGAGACTAGACAGAGACTGGCCATTCTTAGAGCACAGTATAATGAATTATCCACAAATAAAGCGCTAAATAGCGTAATGAAACTGAAACAGACATTCTACGATCAAGGAGAAAGGGCAGGGAAACTTCTGGCCTGGCATTTAAAGTCAATGCAGAACGAAAGATCAATTTTAAAAATTGAGTCGGAGAAAGGGACGACAATTACTAACCCACAAGAAATAAATAGCACTTTCCAGACATTTTATTCTAAATTGTACACGTCAGAAAGTCCAGCCACATCTCGCACACTCCACAGCTTCCTAGGTCAGATAGAAATACCGTTCCTTGGTGAGAGCGCAAAACAGGAACTCAACTCCCCAATTGCAATATCTGAGTTGTCGGAGGCCATAGACGGTATGAAAGGAGGGAAAGCTCCAGGACCCGACGGTGTTCCTATTGAAATCTACAAAAAATTCAAGGACAGGCTATTGGTTCCTTTACTGAATATGTTTGAAGAATCACTTGAAAATGATGAGCTGCCTCCATCTTTGCGGAACGCACTTATAACCTTAATATTAAAGCCAGGTAAGCCCTCCACAAAGTGTGAATCCTACCGCCCCATTTCCTTAATCAATAATGATGTGAAAATAATAGCAAAACTGCTTGCCAGAAGGTTGGAGAAACATATGCCATCTATTGTGGCCTTAGATCAAAATGGATTTATTAAAGGAAGACGGGGCTCTCACAACATTCGTAGACTGATGAACATTATACATGCCAAGAAAGCAATACCGGATGTGGCTGTGATGGGACTTGATGCGGAAAAGGCCTTTGATATGGTCGAGCATAAATGCCTATTTGAAGAGTGCTTCAGTAATTACCAGTTGGTAATATAGTTATACCATATAGTTATATGGTATCAAAACAGCTTTCTCTTTGTAGAGGTACAAGACAAGGGTGTCCCTTGTCTCCTCTTCTTTTTGTCCTGGCCATTGAACCTCTAGCAATTGCAATTAGAGGCAATAGTGAGATAACTGGTGTCACAATTAATGATATCGAGAATAAAATAGGACTATTTGCTGATGATATAGTGCTGTTTCTGACAGACTTGAAACAATCTATACCTTCTTTATTAAGTTTAATAGGAACGTATGGTAGTTTCTCAGGTTATAAGGTTAATGCATCTAAGTCTACAATCCTATTTTTGAAAAAATCTGAGAGATTAACTCCACCACTAAATACTCCATTTAGGAACATTGTGGACAGCTTCACATACCTTGGTGTTAAAATCACGCCTACAATAGAATCCATGGTACCTACTAACTATAACCCTGTGACTGAGTCAGTAGTTGAATCTATTAATAGATGGAAATCTTTGACAATTTCCATGATTGGGCGTATTAATATTCTGAAGATGAATATTCTTCCTAAATTCCTGTACCTTTTTCAAAACATCCCACTTGCTCCTCCTAATTTCTTTACTAAAATGAAACAGCTTTTTTGTAATTACATTTGGAACGATAGATGCTCAAGACTGCGCATGACCCTGTTGTACTTACCATATGACAGAGGTGGGTTAAAACTCCCTTACCTCCAGGGATACTATTGGGCTGCCCAACTACGAGCAGCCTCATATTGGTTTGAACACCAGTCAACGCTGCACTGGATAAGGATGGAGGAAACCACAACTTCCAAAATCCCCTTATATCTCTACCTCTATTCAGCAAACTTAGCCACTTTGAAGAAACGCACTGCAAACCCCTTTGTTAAAAATACGCTGACAGTATGGCATGAGGTGTTAAGTTATCTTGGGGAAAAAACTCCTCTATCCCAATACTCACCTATTTGGGGGAACAGAAACTTTACGCCAGGTACTAACGACTCTGGTTTTAAGTTATGGACAGACAGAGATTTCAGATTTATATGATTGTGATACTCTTACTCTTTTAAGTTTTAATGAGACCAAGCAAAGGTTTAGCATAGCTACAAACCATTTTTTCAAGTATCTCCAGATAAGAAGCTTCATAACAAAGATACAGAACTCTGTAAATCTCCCCTCTCTAAATTCTTTCGAAAAGATAGCTTTAAACCATTATGGATCAGCTGGACTGATCTCAAAGTTTTATCAGACCATCATAGCTGCAGCAAAAGAATCCTCCGATGACAAAAGGCTAGCATGGTGTTCAGACCTAAATGAAGAAATCACTAGAAGAGTGGCAGGACATATGTCTACAGAGTCAACTCCAAACAATAAACTCAAGGTTCAAGCTTCTCCAGTATAAATGGGTGATGAGAACATGCATTACTCCAGAGTTACTGCATCGCATGTACCCCAATACACCGGATGCTTGCTTTAAATGTGGTATACATAAAGGTAGCTTACCCTCATTCAGGATTTCTGGAAAGAGATTATTACAATTGTATCTATTTGTATCAACGAACAACTACCATTATGTCCAAAACTCTGTCTCTTTGGGTGTTTCCCAGTAAACTGTACACTTAACAGTAGCAAAAAGAAGATGGTCATATTTTGTCTTCTTGAAGCTAAACATAAAATTGCAATGGCTTGGAAATCTGTTCACAGGCCGAGCAAACCAAATTGGATAGAGGGACTGATACAGTGCCTTGCCCTAGAGAAACTTACATATGCAGTTAAAGGGAAATATAACATCTTTGCAAAGATTTGGGGCTCATTTATGGAGTTTCTGGAGGGGGAAGATTTTGTTGTAACCATATAGTCTACCGTTTTCCTTTTTGTTTTTGTTTCCCTTCCCCGGTTTTTTTTTTTTCTCGTTTTTTTTCTTCTGACTGGTCACATTAGGGATTGTGGGAGCATTCTATTTGTGGGGTATAATATGTATCTACCTGTGCATGTACATATGTCACCCTCTACTGTTATTTTTATTTTTTGTTTCTGCTGAGAACGTCCAACAACAATACATGCCATTTTTATCTTTATTTGAAATTTCTCCAAGTGCCTTTTGATGTGCCTTGTTTTGTCTTGTTTGTGTATTGTGGAAAAGACAATAAAAAACATTTGTCAAAAAAAGGTTGCCTGTACCTTCATTTCAGCAGGTTGCTAATGCAGAGGTGTGTATAGATTACAGCTATTATTTTACTCTTGATAAGGTACCTTAGCCAGAGTAAATTATCATTTTAATTTAACTGGATTGAATGCATATTAACTGCAAATAGAAGATAGGCCACAATTCTAACAGCTTTAGAGTAACAGTAGAAGTTAATATTAAGCCATACAGTAACAGTTCAATGAAAACGAATCACTTTATTTTGTACAGGCGATGGTTCTCGCTTCTCTTGCATATCTTTGTTTTTATATGACTAAAACTTTTGAAAATGAGACCTCGGTCTCAATTGATTTTGTCTAAACAAAGGTTAATAATAATATTGATTTTTATAAAATAAAAAAAAAAAAAAAAGGCTAACTAGCCAGCTGTTCAACTAGAGCTGAAATACTGATTAATCACTGAATAATAAATTAGTTTTTTGCTTAAAGTAAATATTGTCCCATCACTTAATTTGATTCTCAGAGTACATCAGAATGCTACATATGAGCTACATAAGCTCATATTTAAAATAAAATTCTCGGAGCACCCTCCCACAAGGGTTTCGGGCTTGTCACCTTTTTCATCTCTCGAGTTTGCAGGTATGTCTAATACTGTATACCTACCCTACTATATTGTTTCCCATTGTTCTCATCGTCAGTGTTTTGCTGTTTCACACTGCCATCTGGTGGCGAATGCCATGTAATTGAAATTTCAAGTACCAGCAATCAGAGGAGCGTTAATAAACCCAACCCTTTCTAAATGTCAAAATCCTCCAAATTCCAAAAGTTCCTGTAGTGTGAGAAATATTAAACTAAAAGTATGATGTCTAAAGAAGCTTTAGAATATCAAGATGATAGTGGTCTGAAGAGCAGTAATTTCTAAAGACTGGGTTTGGGACCCACAGTTTGGTCGCAGGAGATTTTATTAGGGTCGCCAAATAAACGTGCAGAATTTCTTCCATAGTCCTTTATTTAACATTTATATCTGCAGTAAACTTTTGAGCCACATGAGGGAGCCTGCATGCGAATATTGTTCTGATAATGGTAGTCTACTTATAACACTGAAACTAATACAAAAGGCAAACATTCTGTTGGTTTTACTGATGAGAGTAAAAAGCAAGAGCCTATTTAATCTGCCTTAATGAGTTTTCAATAAAACCAAGTTGTGATTCATCAAACGTATATCTTTTCAAAATGTCTGGTTTACCTATTCAAGATATCAAAGGGGCTGTGGTCTTCTCACAGTTTATAGATAAAGGTCTATTGTGAATGTCATTTCTAGAAAGTGGCCCTGAGATGTGGGAGTCATGAGCTTCCATTCTCTCTCTCACTCACCTAATCAGCTCATTCAGTGCACCTGTTAGTCACACCCGCCTCATCAGCTCATCACTCTCACCTGCTCACTCTGAGGCACCTACTATTTAGACCCCAGTCTCACACAGACTCACTGCCAGATCGTTCTCTGCATTATGCCAGACTTTGCCACGTTTACCCTCAGACTGGTTTCCTGTTGCCGACCCTGCCTGTTTGGACTTCTCTGCCTTGCCTCGGCCCCGGCAAATCACCATAGCCTTCTGTCCCCGACCACGAGAATAGCCTCTGGTTTCTGTCTGCCTTCTCCCCTGACAGCTTGGCGTTCCACCAAGTGGATTTCTCCACGTGAGCTGATCCGAGACTGTTGTGTCTTCTGCCTGGAATAAAGCTACTTCAACTATTCTGTGTGTCCGTCGTACTGCTTCTGGGTCCTTACCACACCCGTTACACTTCCTCTCTACTGGTTATCTTGCAAATCGTCCGAACCAAGAAATAGTTTGGCCCATGAGCCAGTGAATGGGAGGCATGACTGATGACAATCAGCTAATGTTTGACTAACTCTACACCCAATTTATGTGACAGGAAATCTTTGTACTGGTGTTGGAGGGAAGAAGAAGAAGAAAATGATGTATGTGACAACCAAAAATGCAGGTAACAAAGCTTTAAAATGTCCAACATATACTGTTACTGTTACATTTTTCCTCAGTGAAACCTCCTCCTTCTGTCCTTTTTCCTCTTTTTTCCAACACTTCTACTTTTCTTGTACATCGTTCTTTTCCTCCACCCTTCTTTCCATCCTTTCAATCTTCCTCTCTTTCTTCCCCTCTCAGAGTTTGACAGACATGAGATATTGCTCTACGAGGAGGTGGCCAAGGTCCCGCCTTTCAAGAGGAAAACTCTGATTTTGATTGGTGCCCAGGGTGTGGGGCGGCGGAGACTGAAGAACAAGCTTCTACTGAGGGATCCACTACTCTTTGGCACCACCATTCCATGTATGAAATTTAATATATTTAAGTAGTAGTATTACCTGGCCGATAAAGATTTAATCCTTAAGATTTCTGTGGAGCTCAATTAGGAGCAGGAACAAGCTGATGCAGGTGTTTCTGACAGAAAATAATTTAAACACATTAAAGCTTCTTAAGGGGAGGGGAAATGCATGTGTGACTGCCTTATTGTTTCCAGATACTTCCAGAAAGCCCAAAAAGGAAGATCGCGAGGGTCGGATGTACGCCTTCACCAGCCGCAGCAAGATGGAGACCGACATCAAGAACGGGCGCTTTCTTGAACATGGAGAGTATGACGGCAACCTGTATGGAATCAAGATAGACTCCATACACGAGGTGGTTGAGGCCGGACGTGTCTGCATACTGGACGCCAACCCTCAGGTATGCATATATACCCCCACAAACAACTTACCACCCTGTTTTAACCGGAAAATGCTCCTTACATAATAATCAAAATTTTTTAAAAACGTTCAAAGCCAGACTCAAACATCCCCAGCTCTGCAGCTACACTACACCCACTGACACCACCCTCTTTACAGCTCCGTCAGATCATTGCTCCAGTGTTCCTCTAAAATAATTCAAATCCAGTTCGAATTTTCAAACACCTCTAGTTACTACCCGGTTTAAGTTGTTAGTAAGTAAGTAGTAACGTGTCACTTTTAACAATATTGGATCACTAGTATGGAGATGCAGGTGGATAAATTAATCTACGACTTAATTTACCTTTGATGAATATTCTGTCTGTGCTTCATTGGCTACATTAAAAAGATTGAAAAATTGTGTCTTTTTGGACACAAAGCAAGTGGCAGACAAGTTCAAACAACTCTCCCACCACCAATCATTTTTTAAATACATCCATCTTGGGGGGGCACATGTTTTTTTTTTTTTTTTTTTTGCCACTTGGGCGCAGCAGAACACACTGTAAACACAACATGGACATACTATCTGCATATGAAGTTCTTATAGTGGACTGGTTAGCTAACAGTTGCCTTTTTACACATCTAGCAGTTACAGAGCTATGGAGCTAAATCCAGGTCAAAAGTTTTGATCATTTGAAAAAAAAAAAAAAATTAACCCAAAAGGACTCCCCCAGCTATCTTGAAGGAAGCTTCGGAGGGAACCAGCTACTGGTTCAATTAGACTTTCACCCCTATACCCAGGTCGGACGACCGATTTGCACGTCAGGACCGCTACGGGCCTCCACCAGAGTTTCCTCCTGACATAGGTTGCCGACATAGAGAGACTCCTGACGCCTTTTACTTGAGCCGATCCCCGCCCTGGCGACGCGGTTGGGGCGCACTGAGGACAGTCCGCCCCGGTCGACAGTCGCGCCGGGAGCATGGGGCCCCGTCCCTCCCCGCAGGGAGAGCGGGCGCAGCAAGCACTTAGTCCACGGCCCCGGGGATAGCGGGAGCGCTGTAAAGCACCCGGACGGAGCCGCAAGCCGACCTAGAGCCGGTCGCGGCGCACCGCCACGGAGGATATGCGCCCGGCGGGGCGGGGATCGGCTCAAGTAAAAGGCGTCAGGAGTCTGCGGCGATATCGGCAACACTCCCGACCCATCTTGAAACACGGACCAAGGAGTCTAACGCCCTCGTGAATCAGAGGGTGAAGCAAACCCCGTGGCGCAATGAAAGTAAGGGCCAGCGTGCCGGGTGAGGTGGGATCCCGACCCTGCGGCGTCGGGCACACCACCGGTCAGTCTCGCCCGCACTGTCGGGGAGGTGGAGCGTGAGTGTGTGCAATAGGATCCGAAAGATGGTGAACTATGTCTGGGCAGGGCGAAGCCAGAGGAAACTCTGGTGGAGGCCCGTAGCGGTCCTGACGTGCAAATCGGTCGTCCGACCTGGGTATAGGGGCGAAAGACTAATCGAACCAGTAGCTGGGGGAGTCTTCCCCCCCACTGCAATCACGTGAATATGGTGTATAGAAAGTGTTGAATCATAATTCTCGCGGTGCCTACGTTACCTGAAGGCAACGTGGTTGAGGAAGTCCTCAGCCTTCCTTGTTATGCTGTCACTCATGACACGCCCCTCTCGGTTGATGCCACGCCCCCCACATTAGATCGGGGTCAAAAGTCTGAACTGAAGAAAAAAAACGATCTGAAAGTGAAAAAAAGATTTGAAACTGAAAAAAATATATAAAAAGAAAAATGTATTCCAAAAAATTCCAGAACTGAATCAAAATTATATTCAACCCAAAAAAAATTTCATTCACTTATTTGTATTTTGAATACATTGCTGTATTTTTCAATGTTCAAGATCAGGTTCAAATTTTTTTTTATTTTTTTTATTTTTTTATTTTTTTTTCCCAAATGAACAAAACTTTTGACCTGGATTTAGTTCCATACAGAGCGCCATTAACATTCAGTCATTTAGCTTTTCTGTTCACCTGGCAAATCTAAGTCCATTATTCAGTCTTTGAGCTTTGTTTGTGATCTTTACCAACTCCTGAGGGAAGTACCTGCCTCTGTTGCTGCTAAATGCTCCGCTATGTTCAACCAGCTAATCTCAAACTGTCTATTTGCCATTTTGTGCTGAGCAGGGAGCGCACAGAGCTTTCTTTGAGGTTTTTCACTGAAGCAGCTGCCTGCTGTGGGTGAAAATGAGAGGGACCATTAAAGTGGCCATAAAACCAAAACTTTTGACTCAAAAAGGTTAAATGCTGGGGGGCTGAGGGGAACTGCTGTGTTGGTTGATCATTCTTTGTGGGTTCTTCACAACAAGTGACTCCATTCACATAACAGTCATGTGACCCATTTGAAGAGCAGCTTCAAAAAGCCAGAGTTAAATCAGCTTTCTTTTTTTCTTCTAAGGTAAATTCACTATAGTGTTAAACAGTCTAATAAGTATTCACAAACAAATGGGAAGTTAGGTAACTCGTAGTGAGTGTTTTGTATCTATAAATCTGTGCCTGTAATTTACCACTTGTATGTCATGATTTGTGCATCAACTTAGCATTTTTTAATGTATATCTGTCTCTATATTAGTGAATCTTCACCTAATTGTGTTGGGAGCATGGGCCTCGGACGATGTCACATGACTGTAAAACACAATGCACAAATAAATGAATGTGATTTGCGGCTGTAAATTTGTATCTCTGTCTCTAATTTGCAACTCATGTGAGACCATTTGTAAATACAAACTAACTGTTTTATAATACATCGTCAATTTTTTCTTAAACTTCCCTATTTGCATGGCTTAATAACATTCACAATCCTTAAATGCATTTGCAAATCGTCAACCGAGCATTTTTAAATGGATATGCATCTGTGAATCTCAACCTATTTGTGTGGATCATTTTGAGACGGATTTTACCGCGCCATTGTGCATCACACAAACGGGAAAGACATGCATCTGTAAAGAAATGCAATGGGTATTAAGAAAATTGACTAACTCGCTTAATTAATTTTGAACCCATTTTACTGAAATTTCGTTTGTTATTGATGAGAAATCCCAGAACTTGATGTTGATGATTGGTAATAGTGGTTGATTAGTGAAATTAAATTCACTGGGGGCAGACCTTCAAAATCACCTTGTGAATGGACACAACTTCCTCTGGGACATGCTCAATGAGTAGGCAACATCAAGTGTAAATTATTTACATTTGGAAGTTTCTCCAAACACAATGTCACAAACATTGTATTTTTATCTCTTCTCTCATCATATAGATTTACAGATGCAAATGACTGCATTTATTTTTGCATTGTGTTTTACGACACGAGTCGCATGACATTTTACGTGTCACACATGCCCTGTATTTGTGAATTTTGTGTGAAACCGCAAGTTAAAACACTCGAAGGATCAACAAAACTAGGTGGAGATTCACATAGACAGTTACAGATACAAATCAGTGTATTTAGTTTTACTAGTAGCGTAACTTCACATTTGTTTGTGAATACTTATGGGACTCTTTAAAAATAATAATTTACATACACTGACTGCCCAGAAAAATGCTATGCTACAGTCCTGCAATATATAGAACCTTTATGAAAATTAAAAATAATTTTGAATTGTTATAGATACAGGGTCGGGGAAATGAGGTGGATAAAATATTAGAAACGACTGTTATTGTATTGTCAGTACAATGTAATAACTGTCTAGGCTACGGAGTCAGTTGAGTGTCGTGTGCCTGCTCAAGAGAATCTTACATTGTAGAATTACGGAGGACAAAAGCTGACGATATCTAAAATGTATAAATGACTCTATAAATAAATATGCCATTAAATGTAAAAGTAATATTAAAAATAAATTAAGGGATTCATGATAAAATGTGACATACAGTGACATTTCAATATTTAGATTTTTCCCTTTATTTGTAGTTTTTCCAAGAATTTTGTTCCCAAAGCCAACTGATCTCTGAATACTAATACTTCTCTCTAGTTACCAGGAATCCTGTCAGTGGTCTATAAATTCATGTTTGGGTCTTTGTAATATTCGCTATGGCTTACTTGTTTGTGCTGTGGAAATTTCCTCTTTAAGTAATAATAATTATAATATATTTTAAACTAAATCGGGGAATTAATACAAATAATTTAATTAAGAAGCAAATTATAACACAAATCAATTTGTCACATTTTATCAATTAATTAATTCCTGCATTTATTTTGAATATTATGTTTGGTACATTTAATGGCATATTCATTTGGTAGTCAAGTTATTTATTTATATATGATTTTTTTGCAACTTCCATTCTCTATAGTAGGAGAGTATAACGTTATTCAGTCAGTGTCACCAGGCAGGAATCTCCAGTTGTTTAAAAACTCAAAGACACAAATTCAAATCAAATGTGTTTGTGTGTTAATGTTGTCTTCTAGTCTCTCAAAGTGCTGAGGACCTCGGAGTTCTTGCCCTATGTGGTGTTCCTTCAGTCTCCAGACTTTGAGGTGCTCAAGGCGATAAACCACTCAGCTGTCGAGGCAGGGGTGGTTACCAAGACACTGACGGTAAGAACCACTTACGGTAGGATCATACTCATGTTGAGAAAACTCTGAACAGCTGAAGAAGCAGTGTAGAACTCAATAAACTGCAAATACAGTAGTTCAAAGAAGAGATTCTGGGAATATAATAACGATCCAATAAAACATGCTACACCAAGTCACATGTTTTCCGTTTCAGGATGAAGAGCTGCAGAGGACGTGCGATGAGAGCACTAAAATGCAGGCGGCCTTCGGCCACTACTTTGACCTCAGCATCATCAACGACAACTTGGACGAGACCTACCGTACCGTCAAGGCTGCCCTGGAAACGGTTTCTAAAAACCCCCAGTGGGTCCCGGTCACCTGGGTTTTCTAGTGGAGAGCAGAGGAGGGAGGGAGCTTAATGGCACTGAAAATATGCCACTGTGTAAATAATGGAAGTTCTTATTTAGATTTCCTAAACTTTCAGAAGAGATTAAATTTGACCATTGCGATAGCCTAGCATCAGAAAATTATTTTCTTGCTAAAGTAGCTGCTTTGCAGATAAATCACAAGATATTTTCTTCAAAGTGTGTGAATAAGACATCCATTATTTAAACAGTGTTATATTTTTCTGTGCCGGGAGGACAGGAATGGGAATAAAAAGAAACAAGAATGACAAGGAAGGAGGCGAAAAAGACGAATGTAGTTGTGAATGTCAGAATTTCACAGATTTGACCTGTGCGTGCGTGTCGATTTTAGAGCAAAGACCTGTATGTTTTTAAGTTATTTGTATTGTGTTAATCATGACGATCAACAGACTTTGGATACTGATGGTTACACTTAATTCCCAAGCTATGAGGGCTAATGGCAAAATCTGATCTATTTATCAATTTCTCTTTTCATTTACTAAACATTAGACCTAAAATGTTTTTATAAACAAATGCCCATCATGACTTTCAAGGGACCACATCACTTATCTTGTTAAATTTGTTTGTCTATCGTATGTGACCATGGCAACTGTGGTGGGGGATGAGTGTTTCTGGTGTCATTGAGCTGGGAAGAGGAGGGGCCAACTTTGATTTTCTTTGTTTACAAAGAGTAACCGAGTATTCATGCACTTAATTCGATGAAAATCTTTGAGATTGCCACTTCAACTAGTTTCTTTTAGACCAATGCAGCACTAGCTTCAGGACAGAAGTAATGATAAAACCAACACATGCAATGCTTCAGTTGCTGTGTAGATTTCCTCATGTCAAATGAGTTTTTATTAGAGAATGTTACACTTGACAAAGTACGTGTGATGGAGAGCGGGTCGTCTCAAACCTCAGTCCATCTCGTCTCTGCAGTTCACCAATTAGCCCTGCGAGCACAGTAACTATGTCGCCAAGCTTCGAGAAATATTTAGCGAAGAAGCGCAAATTGTTTTTGCTGTACCCTTTCTGGAGAGCCAGGTCTTAAGCCAGATGATCAGACAGAGTGCGTTTTGCAGGTGGAAAATGCAACCTGCACCGCACTGCCTTGTTGCCCGTTCAACCAGAGTTTTTATTTTATTTTGCAGTTTGCTGTGTCTTTTCAAATAATGAACTGTACGCTACAGGTAATAGTACAGTTTAAATGAATGAAAACAACTTTCCTGAAATCTCAAATACGGCACAAATGTGCCTCCAGGCCTGCTGTTTACTGTTGAGATCATGGTAGCTACGGTTGGTAAAGTCATATGCGCCGGGTGTCTAGCAAAAGCCACCACAATGACAGTTAAAAAAATAGAAAAAATTCATTCTTTTCTACTTTAGGCCTTTAGGGTGCACCTGCTAAAAAGTGCGGCACAAAGTGCTTAAAAACTAGCATTTCATTGGTGCTGTCAGCGTATCCCATTTGGTTATCATGAAGCATTTAAACAGCATGTTGAAACTAAAAACTAAAATCAGATGTGGAACAGTTGATGCTGATGTTATTTAGCAATTTATGAATTTAGAAAAATGTAGAATAACACAATCTGTCAGATATAAGATCAGTTCCCAGCCAGACACTGATCATGAACACCGCCAGTGTTACCCAAGACCTAAAGATCCCAGAATGGTTGATGGAGGAGTCGTTAACTAGTTTGAACTCCATTGACTTAAAAACACACAGAAAACATTGCACAAAGCTCTATTTTACTACATTGTAGTTCATAAGAATGGGTGACTGTGTTCCAACACTCTTACTGTCATTTTTATTTTCTAGTATTTATAATTCAAAATAAAACCTATTGGTTGTATTTATTAACTCGGTTAACAGTTTGTAGATAGCATGTAGAGACTGATTTTTTTTGTAGGTATGAGGTTACCAGCTAGAACTTTCAGTATCTGACACTTATGTTTTGATGTTCAGAATGTCATTAGTAAAGACATACAGTTGCCTACGAGTGAACAACACAACAGAAAGTGGCAGATACCCGACAAGACTAAAGCACTTCAAGATAAGTGTGAAAGAATGCAGACAATTTAAATTACAACAAATTAGTTTCTTCTCTTTTTTTTTTTTTAGCCTTTCAAATGTGTTGTACACTCCTGGGCCACTGTACATGTAACACTGTCCATTGTGCCAAAGCTCCTTGAGCTGCTTGTTTGTACTCTGATCTGTTATTCTGGCAGCTACTGAACTTTTGATGCACAATTAATTGTTTGGGGATAGATGAGTAAAATAGGTGTGGGTCATAACTGGCAAATAAGCGATCCTCAGACCAGTTGTTCACAGCCGTATTAGAGGAGACATTTTTAGTGAGTCATTCTTTGTAAAATCACACAGTGGGCTCTATTTTTTTAAAAGTGGCTTGAAAATGGCAGATATTTGTCTGGCAGCTTTGAGATCGATCGATCGAACTCACTCACTCTCACACGCATATATATATATATATATATCTATATATCTATATATATATATATCTCTATCAAATCCTCACTGTGTCCTTTCTCTAGGAAATCTCACAAATGCAATAAATCCATTTCTGTGACTGTCTTTAATGATATACATTTAGATACAACAGTAACAGTTGGTTTTACCAATTTGTATTCGGTTTGTACAAACATGGCTCACTGACAATTATCTGTTTGAATAAATGAAGTGACTTAAAGTATAGGTTTACATATGTACACTGTATATGTACTACATTTGCACTGTTGAAGGGTGTCATTTGAAAATGTTACATAACATCATTCAATTTGAGATTTAAAGGGATACTCCAGTGATTTAGTTTTGCACTTCCATAAAGTTGAGGAAGTCACAAGCGACAGATTTTAAAAAAGGAATGAAATAGTTTTTTAGAAAGGTACAAATACATTATACTAGTGTTTGCACAAGTCGAGTAGTACTCCCCATGATCTTGATGTGTAAAAGCTCTGGAGTGCTTCTTTAAATTCAACGGTCTGCATTTCACATAAAATCTCTATAGTTTCTAAAATGCATGGCTCTAAAATGGAAAGTGAATTCATTTTGTAGTTTTGTTGTAGGACTGATGATTGTTCATGCTTCTGTCTATACTGAATAAATAATTGATTCAGATCGATTATTGATTCTGTATTTCTTACTGAGAATTTTTCTTCTTGTTGCCCTTACAATTTTTATAAGACACTATGCAATATGATAATGCATTGTTATACATATACTGAAAATGTGCATTTATTATTGATATGTTTTGTCATCCTCTTCCTCTCTGTCCCTCCCTCTAGCCACACTTTCACTCATCAGCCCTTCAGTATATAACGATTCACAATACAACAGTTCACGACATTTTTTTCTTGTATCTAAGAAAAACTTAGCTTAGCGTCTTAATGGATTTTACTTTTGGACTTTACAAAAGACGGAACAATCCTACGCAGCCACCTGTGGAATGTAATTCTTAACATAGTATAATAGTAATACTGCTCTTTATCTGATGCTGTGCACAAATACCACATTTAAACACTATTTTTGACTCGGCACAAATAATCTTTTTAAATAGTTTTATATCCAGACTTTTGTATAGGTTGTCCAGCAAGTGTGTTGTTGTGATTTTAGTTATACAGCTGCAAATCTAATTTTGCCAACCTCATAGCAGACAAGTTACGGTGAACCCCCTTCGGGACCTCGACTCCAGGTTGGGAACCACTGATATAACCGGATTATCGGGGTGACCCTGGCTCACTGGGTTAAGAGGGTTGTCTGGGAAGCGTGAAGGTCAACGGTTCGATCCTCGACTGGGATGTGTCACGTGTCGAAGTGTACCTGAGGCTCCCCGGGCGCCTGTCATTGGCAGCCCACTGCTCCCTATATACAGGTCAAATGCAGAGACAAATTTCCCCCTTAAAGGGATCAATATAGTATAATTTAAAAAAAAAAATGAATTTGCTGCAATGTTGCTCATGACAGAAAATGAAGTAAATAGTCTACAAAATATCAAGGACGTACAAATGTACATGGTTTGTAATATTTCACAACATATTCTTAATGCACCAATAATGAAGACAAATATAAAAATAGTGGAAATTTTTCAGGACAAAATGGATAAATAGCAAACCAAAACAACATGAGGCCAAGAAATTATCACGCTGTGGTGAAGCCTGACCGGAGTGGCTTCTGAAGTGGTAGGAGGCAGACACGAGATACTTTGTCCAGATAACAAAAGGTGTTTCCTTTACAAAAGTAGCCCTGCTACACATGTAACCAAACATATAAACAAAAGAAACGGCTAACTTAGCTTAACTCAGGGGTCGGCAACCTTTACTATCCAAAGAGCCATTTTGCCCTATTTTCCACCAAATACAATTTGTCTGGAGCCGCAAAAGCTATTTGATATCACAGCTTATAACATTTTATATATAGTTATATTATATATACAAAAACTATAGTTTGTTGTATTTATAAAAGTATAGAACAAGAATAAAGACAATTCTTGACATTTTATTGCTATTTTACCTGATATAACAATATCAAACTCTTATGAAGAGGAGAAAAAAAATCTCCAGAGAATCTTGCTCATCTCCAGCGTGATACTTTTCAGCAAATGCTGTGTGCTTGTTCTGGAAGTGTCTTTAAACATTACATTTTTTGGACATATCAAGCACACAGGTAAGCCAGCATCGTTGGCAGTGAAAATAAATGAATACGTCCACGCACAATTAAACTCTCCATTTTCCTCCGTTACTTTTCTTTTTTGGATTTAACCATTGATAGTTTACCGAGGGTGGGGGTCTGCAAATCATGATTAGCCACCTGCAGAGAAAGGCTCTTGGCAGCGACTTAATAGGATGTGACGCACATCTACGCCGGAGTTTTCAAAGCACCGAAAACGGAGGAGTTACAGGTATTACTGACCTTGTTGCCTTTACTAGCAGCTGTTGTTCAGTTGAAATCTGCATTTTTGCAGAGGAAGCAGCTGTTGTTGGAGCGATTAGCGGGCAGGTGTCCAGCGGCGTTATCAAACCTATGGAGCGGCCGTCTGAAGTCACGTTAGCGGCTTTGAGCAACCAATCTACTTCCTGTTTACACCGGCACCCACCCGCATGCGCAGTGTACGTTAATAGTCACGTGATATTCGATTTCAGGCGTTTTAGTCTGGACGGAGATCATCTCGAAAACGATGCTGAAATGCTGTGTGGACGGAGATCGTTTTCGTTTTAAAACGAAAACCTATTAGTGCTAATGTAGACTCAGGGAGCCGCTCCGGAGCCGCAGGTTGCCGACGCCTGGCTGAACGAATGAAACTCAACTCATCATAAAGAAACTGAGATTAACCTATCACGCGCACACAACTACACACTGAATATCACGTGCACACAGCTACACGCCGATATTCCTTCCTCTCTAACAGTCAAAGTAATCTGCTTATATAGAGCCTTCCATCAACATGATCGATTCTAGCCCATACCATAAGTACAGGTGACACCAATTACTTCCTCAAATAGTTAAGCTATATTTGACTGCAAACCTTTAGGTAGCAAATACTTTAAGATAGTTTACAATTTGCTATACACTCACAACTATGCATAACAGATCACAACTAACCTACATAAATAATCTACTCCCCCCCCATGCTTGGTCTGACCCCATGACATCACGGCTGACATCATCCAGTGTATAAATACAGGAAATTGTTGGGTGCCTCCTCCTGTAGACTCTGGAACATATGGTGGGTATGGTAAGTCACAAATAAAGCTAATGATAATATGTGGACAAATGGTGTGTTCTCAAACACTTCGTCACACCCCTTTTTTCAAAATGTCTTTTACTTTTCTATCCCTCTGAACCCCAAAACCCACCGGCGGGATGGAAACGTCTGGTTACCTTGAATAAACGATTGCCAAAACTACACCATTAATAGCCGTCATAACTGTCAGATTTTCATCATTCTGACGGTCCTTCAACACGTGTGACGAACGTTTCAGAAAACCCAACCGAAACAAGCATAAAATTGTTATATTTCATCAAAAACATTTTATTCTACATGTCTCATTTAAAATTTTGCCACAATTAAACCGTTTGCTCTAAACATTGTGTTATACTGTACAAAAGACATTTTTGAGTTCTCTACTTCTAGCAATTGTGCAGGACTTATATATAGGACTTATATTTCCCACTTTGTCCAACCCTGTATCTGCAAATCCTCCACTAACTGACCGGTCACTCTTCCGATTTTCTCTCATCTCCCCCTTGGATCTCAATAAATCACTCTCTGGCATGAAGACTCCGACCTGTGACCTCGACCCTATCCCTTCCACTTTAGTTATGGCCTGTCTCCCGGCCCTCTGCCCGCACCTCCTCTCTGTCATCAACTCCTCCCTGTCTACTGGCTCCATCCCTCCCGCCCTCAAACTCGCCTCAGTCACACCCATCCTCAAAAAACCTGGCCTTGACCCCGACATTCACAACAATTACAGACCCATCTCCAATCTCCCTTTTCTGTCTAAAATACTGGAACGCACTGTTGCCCATCAACTGAAAACCCACCTGGACTCAAACCAACTGTATGAACCATTTCAATCCGGATTCAGATCTCATCACAGCACAGAAACTGCCCTCATCAAAGTCACCAACGATCTCCTCCTCTCCTCTGATGAACACTCCCTCAACATCCTGATACTGCTCGACCTCAGCGCGGCCTTCGACACCATCAACCACTCCATCCTCCTTTCACGTCTCGTGTCCTCCCTCCACATCACTGGCACAGCCCTCTCCTGGTTTAAATCATACCTCTCCGACCGTGAAGAGTTCATCAGCATCAACAAATTCAAGTCTGACACAGCCCCAGTCTCTCAAGGTGTCCCCCAAGGTTCAGTACTCGGTCCCCTCCTCTTCATCCTCTACCTGCTCCCCCTTGGTGACATCCTACGCCACCATGGTCTCCAGTACCACTGCTATGCTGATGACACCCAGCTCTACATCTCCACCAAATCCATCACCCCCACCATCCACTCCACCATCACCAACTGCCTCACAGATATAAAAACCTGGATGCAAGCCAACTTCCTCAAACTCAACACCGACAAATCTGAAGTCCTCATCATCGGCCCCAAATCATTAAACAATTCCCACCACAACTTCTCCCTCTGCATTGATGGCATCACTGTTCCTGCCTCCACACATGTCCGTAACCTCGGGATAATTTTCGATCAAACTCTCTCATATGAACGCCACGTCAATCACATCACAAAAACCGCCTTCTTTCATCTCAAAAACATCGCCCGTCTCCGTCCCTCCCTCTCCTCCGCAGCCGCTGAAACACTCATCCACGCCTTCATCACCTCTCGACTGGACTACTGCAACAGCATCCTGTACGGCTCACCCACCAAAATCATCAATAAACTACAATACATTCAGAACTCAGCTGCCCGTCTGCTCTCCCACTCCCGCACCAGAGACCACATCACCCCAGTCCTTCAAAACCTCCACTGGCTCTCCATACAGCAAAGAATCCAGTTCAAGATCCTCCTCATCACATACAAAGCCCTCCACAACCTTGCCCCTTCATACCTTTCGGACCTCCTGTACCATCACACTCCCAACCGCAACCTCAGATCTGCTGACGCCAACCTCCTTACCCCCCCTACTCTGTCCAAGCATCGGACCTGGGGGGACAGGGCCTTCTCCATTGCTGCCCCCTCCCTCTGGAACTCCCTGCCCCAACACCTCAGACATTCTTCGTCACTCGCCACTTTCAAAACTGCACTTAAAACTCACCTATTCAAATCTGCTTTTAACCTCTAAAGTCAGTCATGTATGTTTTTCTTTCTTTCTTTTCATGTTTATATTATTTTTTTTCTTTCTGTTATGTTGTATATTTTGTTCTTATTATAAATGCTTCTATTGTTTCTGTTTTTAACATGTAAAGTGTCTTTGAGTGCCTTTTAAAGCGCTATATAAATAAAATGTATTATTATATATGGCAGGTAAAATCAAGGCCACAGAGAGAAAAATGACTGGAGCGAAACGTCTTTAGTACAAAGATGTGTCTTCACATTGTGAATTTGATGTCTGAAGAAGCTCCAAGACCAAAACATTGTCTATAAGAGATCAGTGACCGTGAATTCCGGCTTTTGTTTATACACTGAAAAAATGGCACTCTACCTGCACAACACATGTTGAATGAACATGTGCAGCAAAATGCAAGCTCTGAATGGTGAAAAGCTTTACAACCTGATCAAAAGAAGGAATTACTTTGTTTCTGTGAAACAGACTCATGGCTTCTGGAAGGCTCAATTGAAATAGTCATGAATCTTTACTTATATACATGAGCCTTCGTCCATTTACCCACACAGCCAAGTGACTCAAAAATAACCCATTTACAACATCTGCGCTCTGAAAGCATCTTTGTTCACAATCATGCAGTGGAACTACTGTGATTTCAGCTGTACAGCAAGACTGTTGTAAAAACAGTCATCCTAAGGCAGTTTAGAAGGAGCAACAAATTGGTGCTGGGTGTGTGCAATGTGGAGTGGAGTCTGAAGAGACGATAAACAACCAGCTCTCTCTTCTCTGCCAGTCTCATGTCCTCGGCGTGGAGAATGTGCCATCTGCTCTCTCTTTGTGGAATCAGAATTTTCAAAATATCATGAGTTACATGTCCTTCCTGAACCTTGATAATCGTCTCTCCTCTTCTCCACCCTTCACTTTAACTTTATCCTCCTCTGCACTTTAGTGCTCTTTTTGAGGGAGAGCCTTCTTGGAGGATTTCTTATATATCTGTCTTCTCTTACAAACTGTTCTCTTCATCCTCCAGTCCTACCTCATCCCTTCTCTTTTGGGGTTATTCTCTCAATCTACCTCTGTGTTTTCTTCCTTGTTCCTCTCCTCTCCATCCAGCTCTCCTCTGCCATGTGGTGGTGGCTGCTTGGTGTTTTGAGTTGTGTGCTGCTGGTGGTGGTCGTCATCTTCTTCCTGACCACCGGGAAACGATACAAGGTGTTCAGTGAGAAGTGCCTGAGGCCACCGGAACCCTTGGTCACCGACAGCCGGCAGAGGGACGATAGGCTGAAGAGAGGTCAGAAAAGTTGTTTCTGATGCAGTCTTGAGTCTTGATTATTGGCCGATATTATCCTGTCTACCAGAGCTTTGTATTATCCTTCAACATCCCACTGGTTAAGAGTTTTCGACCAAATCATGCATTCAACAACTATTTTCAATCACAATACAAGTGTTATCCTTTAAAATTACATTTGGTAGGGCTCGTGAGAAACGGGTAACAGAAAGGCTTCATCTCCAGCATGAACGAAATAATACAGAAGTCGTTTTCAACCACCTCTAATGGTTAATCAGCAAAATGTTTCTAAAAAATGACTGCAAGTATAGTGTTTCTGGGGGTATGTTTTTTGCTAGGTAGGACTGGGGCCTTCCATGTGTCTGTACCCCTCAGATTTCACAGTTTTACAAGCTGATATGACCTGAACTCACAGTATTTGTACATAACTAGTTCTCTGTTGCATCCTTTTGACTGCAGATACAGTCTTGTGTAGAACTGTGGTAGAACTGAAAACCTCCGTGTTCAAGATGTCAAGAAAGGCTTCGCGAGACCAGCCGACAGCCTTTCCACGAGACTGATTTTAAAATGCAGCCTTTGCTCCCTGCAGGGTTTCGTGCAGACCGCGTTCCCCCGGCTCTGGATGCGATTGTGATTGGCAGCGGTGTCGGAGGTTTGACAGCAGCAGCGCTTTTGTCTAAAGCCGGCAAGAGGGTTGTAGTCCTGGAGCAACATGATCAGGCTGGAGGCTGCACACACACCTTTCAGAATAAGGGATTTGAGTTTGATGTGGGTAAGTAGGCGAAATACATGGATACACACACATAAACGTTCTTTCCTGCAGCTGCAATGTAGATTTGTATAGAAAGTACATTATAATAATGATAAGATGAAGATTAACCCACATACGATATGGTATGGTGAACAATCCAGTTATTCTAATGCGGTTGTATTCAGTGCATTAAGTCTATTTCTTTTAAGCTTCATTGAGTAATAGAGAAACTGTACTTGAACATAAACATTGTGGTGAGTTATATCCAATGAACCAGAGCTGTGATGGCTGCTTTAAGACAATACAATGATTATGCGACAAGTATGTGCTCCTACTATGAACATGTCCAATATGGACTTTCGTGTACTTTCATCTATTTGTCGCAACTAAGCTAATGCTGTCAAATAAAGCTGCCCTGAGCCAAATCCCACTTAAGTGAAACAGCAGCACGGAGCTGTTTGTTCAAAAACGAGTACAGCTTTAAATCAACTGCAGCTCTGTATACAACTCTGTGACCTATCTGCTTTGTAAGTTACTCATTGGAAACAGACTTTTTTTTTAATTCACCAAACACTAACTTACAAACTACCTGTTACAGTGGTGATCGTTTCAAAATGCATGCTCATTAATTAATCCAGCAGGTAAATAAGAAATGATGCTCCTGAATTAATAATTCATGCTTTTAGGTACTTAATTTGTGTTCACAAATTGACAGAACATTTTACTTTAAAGGCATGTCAAACATGTATACATGCAACAACACTGCATGTTATCCAAACTGCTCATTTCGATGAACCCTAACTATTTTGAACTGTTATCAGGCAACAGTGGTATATCTAGTATATGCCTGTACATATATCTATGTATATGTAGTACTGTTGAAACAACGTTTCATTAATATAGTATCACAACTGTATAAAGTGCTGAAGGGACAAAGATAATTCTATTCAATGCATGAAAGAAATTAGTCCAGAATGAAAAGTATTTCTAGCATTTCCTGCAGATTTGACTTTGGTGAGAGAAAAGTAGATACATTTGATTTTGCCTGTTGCACAACTGTATTATCTTCACATCCCTTAAACATCCCTTTAATATATGATATCAATAGAGGAAATGTATATGTCGCTTTTCTACATTCATACACCGAACAGAGGCTGCCATATCAGGTGCCACCTGCTCATCAGGATCTAATCTAAATACTCCTATACACACACTTACAAGCTGATGGCACAGCTTTTGGGAGCAATATGGGGTTTGGTATGCCCAAGGACACATGGACATGCAGACTGGAGTAGGGAAGGGTTGTACTGTAGGGAGGGGTTGTGTTGTAGGGAGGGGTTGTGTTGTAGGGAGGGGTTGTACTGTAGGGAGGGGTTGTGTTGTAGGGAGGGGTTGTACTGTAGAGAGGGATTGTGTTGTAGGGAGGGGTTGTACTGTAGGGAGGGGTTGTG